CCCACTCCAGCCATATCTGATCTTTCTATAAAGAATGGATGAGAAAGTAATTTTGCTTTCTTATGTTGTCCTTTTTCTGACAACTAAAGGAAGTGGGGTGGAGTTTCTTCCCTCATATTATCCCCACAACGAGATAGTGACTTCCGTGGTCAAGTAGAGATTCAACCTGGGTCTCTCCAGTCAAAATTAAATCATTTCACATAAATATTCACACTTCTACTCACTAACATGGTAATGTTACCTTGTTAACATCAATATACACATTTATGTTTTTAACTATACTCATCCTGCACCCTGCCTTTGTTGCTGATTATCTTCTGCAACTCTCTGGGGAGAGTGATAAGAAAGTGGCTGGGCAGTTGGGGAGACAAATCTAGGAAATGGTATGACAGCAAGGCAGAGGAAAGGAGGTGAAGCTAAAAATGGCAAAGAGTAGAGATACGGAGGATACGGAGAAAGGAAAGCTGGAAGATTGAGAAAACAGTAGGATGTCACATGAATACAGAATAGGAAGAAGGTTGTGGGTATGTATGGGGAGGTGAGTAAGGCGGCTCAGAGGCTATGCCAAACTCCTAATAAATGCAGAAAGCACCCCATAAATTTTAGCTATTTTAAGATTCCCAGTCAGATGAAATATTCTGATACTAACTGAGTACTAACTCTATCCTTACTGTAAGGTTACATTAACAATATCTTGCAAGTGTGACAATACCCCTTCTGTCCCATATGTACTTCTATTCTGAAAACTAGGGAGGGTTTCTTCTGAAGTAGCTTTCTCCACCTTCCTTTTTAAATCTCATATTTTGTTTATCAGATTTATCTAGCCTGTGGCTCGATAAGCATACACACACACACACACACACACACACACACACACACTGTTCTGCATATGCCAATTATATGTTTGGATTTGCTGACAATTCTCATGGCAGAAAAATAAGGAAGTACCGTGCATTGTTTCTTGGAAGACGAAACAATAAAACCTTAGTAGTCCCCCCGTCCCCAAGGTATTTCTTCTGGCTTTTATTAGAGTACACCCTGAGTGGCTTAAAAAAGGTCAGTTAAACAGGAAAGTGGTTTTTTTCAGTTTTGGCATTTCTTAACAGTAAGCATTCTTAGCTGGGGGAAAAAATGGTGATAGAATTAAATGCATCTGTGAAGAATAAGCATTCTGATTCATTATAGTACTGTGCATTGAAAATAATGTATGAAAGAGAAACATCTCCCCTCCTCTGCTTTGCCTGTGGGCTTCTCTTCTATGTACAGCTTCAGGAACAATGTTAAGCACAGCAGGACATTAAATGCAATGGAAACACCCAGCAGAGTTTCCAATCGCAGGAGGTCCTTCACAGTCTCTGTAGGAACTGCATTTGCCTGTGCTTTTTTTTTTCTTTGCAGGAAACAAGGTAACAAACAAGCAAAATGCAGATCCTGCAATTTTAATTATGTGAATTAAGCATAGTTGCTTATTTTGATGAGTTGATTCGGTTTCTCCTAACAAGGTGGAAGAGACAAGGAAGCACATGAGGAGGGCTTTCAAGCTTGTAACTGCAGTACTACGGTCCATCAGCTTGCTTCTTAGAATGGATAGAAATGGAATGGAAATTTTCAGAATGCTGAATTTTGCACTTGTTGCTCTAAACATGTTGATTATTACATTATACCAGTGATGGCGAGCCTTTTCGGCACTGAGTGCCGAAAAGGGAGCGTGCGTGTGTATGGCACCAAGTGCCGAAAATGGAGCACTGATTGTCAGGGCCGTGACCAGGAAGAGGAGCTGCCCAGGGGGCATGTGCATGCCGGATAGGGTACTTTCGGTTTCCTGTGTGCGCATGGCACCGTCAAGCAAATCTTCTGGCTACTGCCGTGCATGCACACATGCCGACCAGCTCACGCCTGAAAACGGGAGACCAGCTCTTCCGGTTTCTGGCACTGCCACACGCACAAAGGCCAGCTGATCATCGTGTGTACATGCGTGCCAGAAACCCAGAAGAGGGATGGGCAATGCTGCACGTGCCAGGCAACATGGCTCCATGTGCCACTTTGGGCACACGTGTCATAGGTTCATCATCACGGCATTATACATTTCAGTTGTTGGGAAAGATTGAAAGCAAAGGAGAAGGGGACAGTAGAGGAAGAGGTTAGATAGTGTCATCAACTCAATGAACATGAATTTGGGCAAATTCTGGGAGCCAGTGGAGGACGGGGGCCTGGCATGTTATGGTTCATGGAGTCACAGAGAGTTAGATATGACTTAGCAACTAAACAACACCACTTTTCAAATAGGTGATACCTCCAATATCTGATGATGGCACCCACACATACAAATTACTATACTGGAAGTGATATACCTTTATAACAATATTTGCTTGCAATTAGATATGCTCAGATTGGTAATCATAGGGCAGTCCATGGCAGCTTTTCATCAGGTCATTTAAAGATGGGAGCAGAATTGCTATGTGCCAAGTATGTTCCCAGTACATATATAGCTATGGGGCTCAGTGAGTTCTTTTAAATGTGCACTAATAACCGGGCCCGCAAGAAAATTTCTGCAACAAATTCCAGTGGAATGAATATTGTACGAAACTTCCTGCTGGATTTTGCCCAGCATCTAAAAACTTCTCTGCTACTAATACAAATGTTAAGTCCTCAAGTGGTGAATGGTTTATGGCTGTCCTCTCCTTTTTACTGCTTATCTTAATAATTCATCCAAGCCCTCCCGCCCCTTCTTCTTGGGAAATTGCTCCACAATTTAATCAATCTCACAGACAAAAGCCAGCCAACCCTCTCTCATATTCAGCCTTTCTTCTGCTCAGTATAAGATCATTAGTCTTCATTTGAGTGGCTTGAACCAATCCTCAACTTCCACTGCTTCTTTCTTCTCCTCTTTATCCTTCAGATGCTTTCAGGAGATGATCTGCTAATCATTTTGTCATTGCTCTTCAGCTGAGCTAAGGATGCTCTTATTTTTTTCCTCTCATCAGTTAGTACTCCCTGTTCCTTTCGGCGTTCTTTGAGCTCTTTTGTGAACTCTCTTTTTGTTCATCAACAGTGTATTTCAAACATCAAGGGCTATTGTGGAAAACTCCAGCTCTATTCTAACTGACACTCAACAAATACAAGCTATCATCTTGCTCCTTGTTTAGGGGATGCTTCAGTGGTCAATAGCAAAATAAACTGTCATTCAAAGAAATATCAGGAATCTACTTGTTTCCTTTCCAATAGGCCAGAGCACCACAGGCCATTTCACACATCAATGCAGAACATTTTGATTATGAAGATCAGAAGTGGTTGAATTTTATAGCTTCTCTTATAACACTTCTCATTCTCCACATCCCAGAACTTATTTTTTCTCTCTCATTTTCCTATCACAGGAATTGTCTATTTCTATCTTTCCAGGTAGGCACTGTGTTTTTCAGAGAGCAGTTCAAAAATCAAAACATAAGAGTGGTGTGGAATTCAACTTCCAGTTTAGCCAAGTGTGTGCATGTGTGTGTGTGTGTACACACATACACACACACTAATTTCTTGGGTGAAAGAAAAAAATGAATATTTTTTTTTAAAACGAAGGATTTTTCTGCCTTTTTTAAAAAAATAAAAGCCTTATAAAGCAACCAGATGTGCTACCTAAGTCTTCTGAATAATGCATGGTACAGAAATGATAGAGAAATGTTGGTGTTGCTATTTCATGGAACTAGGAGAAGAAAATAGTTAAGTTTATTTCCACTTTAGATGAAAATTCTTTTTAATCCTTGAACCACTCAGGCACCAGAGTATTCTAGAACCTGCATGTTTTGTTTTTAATTAATGGTCTTAGATAAGTAAATCTTCTTCAGATATCCTGGGGTTTGGCCTTCATAATACCCAAACAAGTATAGAGCTGGAATCCATAAAAAGTTTCACGACACCTGTCTAGGAGGACGATGAGCATTGTTGACTGATTTTAATTTTGTAATTGCAATGTAGAATACATGCATAAATATTACTATTTTCCCTGATTTTCAAAGTAAAATAATGTGCTCTATATGGAGCTATCCTTGACAGCATTTGGAAGCTATAACTGGTGAAGAGTGTGGTGGTGTGGGCAGCCTTTAAGGCTCCTAGAAAGCCTTACCGAAGTTTCATGAGTTGTACTGGCTGCTGGTTTGCTTCTAGTAGCAATTCAAGGTGTTATTACCCATAAAGCCCTGCATGGCATGGGTCTAGGTTACCTCAGGAATTGTCTCATCCCAATGGGAAAATCCCAACCCACCCACACTGGCACAGGAGGCATACTGCAGATCCCATTAGTCAAGGAATTTCATGGACTGGTGGAGTCCATGAGAAGAGCCTTCTCTGCCATGGCTCCTGCCCTTTGGAACAACTTGCCCCCTGAAGTGAGAAGTACTCCCACCCACCTGACCTTTCGTATGGTCCTGAAGGCTTAATTCTGCCAATTGGCTTCGGGACCCAGTGGGGGAATGTCATCCTGGAGGTGGTTGATGGATTAATAGCAGATCCCATCATCCCCTGTACACCTTGTTCCCTTCCTATCTTTTTATCATAATTTATAATTTTATTGTATGTACGTATTGCTTTTAACTTTTTAAGCCTCCCAGAGACTACTTGTGGTGAGATGGGAGGCAAATAAATATAATAAAAAATAAAGGAAAAAAATAAACCATGGGGAAACATTAATCCCCCAATGATCAATCAATCAAAAATTAATCATAATTGTTTTGAGGGCCAATTCCACTCTCTGGGCCACTGGCTGATTGGTTCTGCTGCACTTTAGAACCCTGGCTGATCATCTGTAAATATTTCTGCCTCCAATCCATTGCTCCTGAATTCCTACAAAGCTCTGTTACAGATCAGGAGACAGATTTAAGTTCTAATGCTGTTCTGCCATACTAGTTCATATGTTTTGTATTTTTTTTTCCAGATGGACAGAATGTTGTAAAGAAATTATGTAGAGAGGTTTGGGACAGTCTGTCAGTCAGCAGGATTAAGAGTGATCAAAACATAACACAACCTGTTCTGTATGGAAAGAGATGCCAACAAAGAAATAATTTGAAAATGTGCCAGATCCATTCTGGGAGCTGTGACAGAAAAAAAACCAGAAAAAATAATCCCAATTCATTCCTAGAGAAGAGGCAGTTGGGTAGTGGCTACAAATGCTAATTGTTTTATATTATACACTTTTCTTTCCTCATTCCTAATCAAGTGACCCAAAGTGGAACTTCTTTCAAAGAGGGCAGAAAGAATTCCAGGTAAGTTATTTTAGTGATTTTTCTATTTCAGTGTCTGTAATTTGGATCCTCACTGTTGGGAAAACTGGGCAGCTGGAAAATGCCGAGGTTAGCTAGTTCCTCTTTAAATCACAGTTTGTAAAATATTGTTGGGTTGATTAGACTAAAGAACTTTCAGTATGGCCAGGACCAAGCTTTTATCTCTATGAAATTATATGGAAGCTTTCAGCACCTACTGACAGTCTGCGGAAGGAAATTTTTGTGACAATTATCAGTAATGGTTTGTTGTCTTTGTAAAAATATAACTTGGATGCCACTCCACTGGCCCATATTGCTCTCTTTTTGTATTGCTTTACATAGTCATATTTAATTTGCTCTTCAGGATCCCTCATCAGAAAGTCACTTTTGGCAATCATTGCATTCTGAGGTCCTTTTTCACATTGATTAGGTTTCAAACAGCTTCAAAGATGAATCTCATTTCATTATTTCTCATAGGCGCCCTTTGAATGTTACAGCTCTATCTTCACTAGTATTTACAATGCCGATTACTTTCCTGCCATCTGTGAAAGCAATTAATGCAATGTCTGTTGTTTTAAGGGCTTCCCAGGTGTAGCTTTGATACAAATCTATTTAAGAGAGCCTGACTTTAGTAAAAAGATACATTATGCCCTGAGGCACTGCAGTCTGTGCTTTAAGTCCAGAAAACACATTGGTTTGTGGGATAGGTAGAATAAAAATCCTGACTGGATGCAGGTCACAAAGTTGGCCAGATATGGACTGCAATCATCCCAGTTACAAAGCAATTCCCACCCTCCTTGCAGTGTTTGCCTTAATCTCAGTGGATGTGTAAGATCCGCAATACAGGTTCTGAAATGTCTAATTCAATTATTTCAGGCAGCAGAACTGAAAAAAGCAGCTGACTACAACTTTTGCAAACCACAGTCAGTGGTTGTGATGCTAACTTGAACAGTTCTTTCTGTCACATTACAGCCAGACGACAAGAGAGAGGTCAGGGCTCCATTTTCTAGTAGGACTCCAAAATAATAGCCCAGAGGTTTTTAAAATTTCTGGTGCAGTGGGAGAGAAAGTTCTCCTGCCTTTTACCCCCTTCCAGATCTTATTTAATTTGACAAACAAAATTTGAAGTTGAAACTTGAAAACATTAAATTATTTATAAGTAATTTCAACACTATGATCATAACTGGAGCATAAGTTATTGCGCTTACTTAGCCACAAAGAGAGCAAGATCTTTCATCATACAATATTTCCAGAATTCTGCATTCCTTAGGAAGACCTTATGAGGCAGCTTCAAAATGATGGAAAGACGTACACAGGAATCTGTGGGAGGGAGGGAGGGCAAGTGATGAACTGTGTGCCACAGTATCCTAACACAAAACTCACATTATTTGTGTGTGTCAAAGGTTGAGATATAAATAAGTAAGGGTGGGTTTTACATTATGATATCACCATGCATGTTGGTACTTTGAAATGTTCTTAACTTACCCCAGACACTTATGAAGATGTATCATAGACAACCATAACATCAGAGCATTTCCTCCCCAAACCTTTGATAATAAAACAAACTCAAAAATTCTCAGATACCCTGAGAATAAAACAAATGAGCAGAAGACTCTTTCTTAGGGAGAGAAAACATTTGAGAAACTGCAAGGCATAGAATTCAGCATAGCATTATTTTGAAGTACTTGTTCTCTGTTATGTTTTTTATCCCTATCTTCCTGGGTTTAATCATCTTTTGAAACTTGTTTAGAAAGGGCCAAGTATCCTGTGGATGAAATTTAAATTGCTCCAGAGGGCTTCTGATCAGTCCCTTGTGCGTCCAGAGGCTCTCTAAGGAATTAATTTATGAGATGAAAATCCATCTTGTCCAACTTTTTCTAAAAGAGTGGCTTCTATCTACCCTGTTTTCCCGAAAATAAGGCATTCCCTGATAATAAGCCCAATTGGGCTTTTGAGCGCATGGGCTAAAATAAGGCTCCCCCCAAAAATAAGCCCTCCCCGAAAATATTTAAATGCAGAGCTGGAAATCAAGTAAGATTGCAAGAGGAGCCCCAACTTGCTCCACGTACCCCAAAATAATAAGACCTCCCCAAAAATAAGGGCAAGCACTTATTTCGGAGTTTAAAAAAATATAAGACAGGATCTTATTTTCAGGGAAACACGGTAGTAGCAAACATGGACGTAGATAGCAGAACAAGCAAAGGGAGAGTGATGAAATGCAGAAAGGATGGGAAAGAAGAAAAAGTATATAGGGGATTCAAGGAATCATGGGAGGGAAAGAATTGTGAGTTTGAAAATGTTTTCTATGCTCCTTCAATTCCTGCAGCATTCCTGGATGGTTCAGGCAGCCATTTACAGTACATCCCTATGTTTGTCAGACATAACGATGTGCATAGTGACATATCTTTCAAGGTACCCTTTACACTGTGAGACAAAGTAGCTCATAACACCCTGACCCTTATGCTCAGGATTTCTGAACCAGAAAATCAATTTGCTCTAGTCTTTTTTAAAAGCAAGACTTTGCTACTGTGGTTAGAGACATCAAACCAGTTTTGTTAAACCTGTTTTCTGACTGCCAGAGATTGTGCAGACATTTTGGCATCATTGGACATGAGGGTTTCTAATCCAAAGAGCTTTGCATATGGATAGATCTCCTGAAATATTCCCTACTGCTCATGCCTGCTAATTATTGGGTTTTAAGAAGCTTGGAGAACAGGTGGGGGAGTGGGTCAGTGGGGTTTCATTCAAATTTTCTTTTCAGACAATTTTAAAGCTATTTATTCTTCAGCCGAAAATGTGATGTTCTTTCCTCTGAGGCAACCTAAACTGCAATCTCCTCTGCCAGCTGTACTTCTAGTAATGAAAATATAAACAAACTTTCAGCAACTCCTGATCCCCAAGGTCTTCTGGCAAACTGGATGAATAAAGTTTTGTTTGAATGTATTTGGCTCAAGTCTGCAGAAGATTCAGGATGGTAGAGAACCCATGTTCTTCTGTAGGAAAGAGAAAGGATGTAATCATTTTAGCCAACTGCATCTGCATATTAAGAAAAGGAAGTAAAAAAGAATGGTGGACCTGACTAGGTGGCTCAGTGGCTAAGACACTGACCTTGTTGATCAGAAAGGTCGGCAGTTCGGTGGTTTAAATCCCTAGTATGGGTCTCCTGCGTGAGCAGGGGGTTGGACTAGATGACCTCCAAGGTGCCTTCCAACTCTGTTACTGTTATAAGATACTGTTATAAAACCAACTCCGTCACAGAAGAAAATAAGAAAAGTGATGTTAGATTGATCCATTCGTTTACTCAGGGATAGACAGTCTTTTAGAATTATGAGGGAATGTGACAATTCTCTTCACAAAATGGCTGCCGTGGTTGAAATGTTCTGTTACAAAATGTCAATTTATCAGATTAACTATTAACCCAGATTGATTTCTATCATCTCAGAAATAGCATGTGTGTTAATAAATTATGATACCAGAAACAATTCTTTACATTGCCAAAGGACATTTACCTATTTCACTTTTGATTAAACTATCTTTTTAAAATGTCGGTGAGGGAATGAATGTGATAGGCATCAAAAATAATGTCCAGATGTTCCAGCACTTTGGGGTACCATATTGCCAACCCCAATCCAACTAATTAGCATACTGATTCTACAGTGCCAACCAGATGCCTAAAATAAGATAAATTGGCTTGGGTGCCAATAGAGCTGTTCCACTTCTGTTCCCAAAAACATTACTGTTGAATATTCTTCAGGACTAGTAGCCACCAACAGTTTTATTCCCCCTCAGTCTGTATAAGCTCTTTTAAAGCCATTCAAATTGGTATCTATTGCTAGGCTTCAACCCAAGTGCTTCAGCTTGGCTTGTATTTTTTCATCACTACTAGGTATTTTCAAGGTTGTAGCTTCTTTAATATTCTCTATGAAATTCAGCGAAGTAATATTATCCCATTAGCTTACATCAATCAATTCTGGAAAGTGACTGAATAAAAATTGGCTTGGAAGTAGTCAGTCATACTCAGTTTATTTCTGAAATAATTTGCTGTGATTTACGCAAAGTACACATATGTCATTGCAAAAGCAAGGCAAATTTAAGATATATACATTATATAGTTATAGGCTACTTGCAATAGTCAACAAATCCAGCAAAATAAATAAATATTTTAAAATGACACAATGGAATTATTGATCTGGTTCAAAGGACTATAGGCCCAATTGCAAGACAGAAGCACAGCAACAGTCTCTTCAGACATCTTTTCTATTTGAAAACCAAATGTTTCAACAAATCTTACTTGACCCTAAGAAGATTATGTGGCAGTAAATTCTTGGTATCAAAGGAACCTATTGCCACGTAATCTCATTTAGTGATGTAGTGTAAAAAGGAAAGATGGAACAGGCTGTACTTAATGCACAGTTTGGTTGGAGGTAAACATTTCAGAAGCAGAATAGACTCTGACTAACGGTGCCATAGGGAAAGATAATTGCCTACGTTTCATTACTCGTAAGTGCAAAGCTTGCATATTACATTGTGAAGGAAGAGAGATGAATGGTAGTAGCTGGAGCCAGTAATGGCAAGATGCATTATGCAAGCTCACTCCATCTCATTTCACTCTGTTAAATTCAGCTGCACCTCAACTCATCTTCCTCCTTCTTCTCAAGCCTGCTAATGCTCTCCTTGATCTTCACCTGCAACATTCCAGGCTATTAAAATCAAGCAGGACATAAAAATAGAGATCAGGATGAATTATTTGATGCTTCTAGAATCTATCCTTCCAAGCAACTGGAAGCTAATTCCATATAATAAATGTAGCCAAGTGACAATATGTTTAAAGGCCTTATATCATGGAGACTGTTTGCAAAATTAAGTTGTGGTGCCAAATTGCAATATGAGCAGAAGCAACAACAACAACAAAAAAAATGTCTACCGCATAACTCCCAACGACCAGTAAGATCCCACAGAGTTGGTCTCCTCTGGGTCCCATCAGCTAAACAATGCCGGCTGGCAGGCCCGCGGGGGAGGACCTTCTCTGTGGCTGCCCCGGCTCTCTGAAACCAGTTACCTCCTGAGGTCCGGACCATCCCACCCTATTGGCCTTCTGAAAAGCAGTGAAGATCTGGCTTTTCCGGCAGGCCTGGGGCTGTTGATCTTGCTCTTGAGATCTGGCGAGATCCGGCCATGAATGGTGTGAATGAGTTTTAATGTTTTTAATGTTTAATGTTTTTTATAATGATTTTAAATGCATTGTAAGCCGCCCTGAGTCTTCTGAGAGGGGCGGCATACAAATTGAATAAATAAATAAATTTCAAAAATGTATTCTGCCTTTCTTTCTTGAATCCCAACCTTTTCTTTCCCCAATTAACCTTCTGATTCATCCTTAAAATCATCAAGATGTCCACCTACAATTATATTTGCTTGTCCTGTCCAATAATCATTGGAAGTAACATTTTTTTTAGCCCTAGTATGCTTAATGACTAACATGATCTGAACAGAAAAGTATACAGGGGTGTAAAAGGTATAAAAAGAATGTTAGAAGTTTTCTGTTGCAAACTCTCCCAGTCTTCTCCCAACCTTTTGCCTGCTGGAAATTACAATTCTCTGAACATCCATTTATGGGTACTGAAGCCAAAACATATGTTAACAACATGAAGTTATTGGAGTCCATTCCATGGAATGGGTAATTATCTTCTCCAAGTTCTTTTTTATTGCACCTTTTACCGAATCTTATTTTTCATCACTTAGATCAGGCCTGTCAAACTGGTGGTTGCATCACGCACAGGCCATGCCCACTCTAGCTCCACAAAGGCAAAAAAAGTCACAATACATCATGTGATGCGATTGAGTTTGACACCCGTGACTTAGATTGTTATCAGTCACTATGAAGGTGTGAATACATTTTTATAGACAACCTTCATTAGGTCATAAAGGCTATAATTCCAAGAATTAATCTGTCCCTATTTCAGGTAGTCTTGTATTGATCACATGACAATGGGGATGCTACAATGGTCATAAGTATGAAAAACGGTCATAAGTCATTTTTTTTCAATGCTATTGTAACTTCAACCAATCACTAAATGAACTGTTATAAATCGAGAACTATCTGTATATTGTTTCCCTTTGTTTAAGATCATGTTTTGTCTACTCATTCACACCATAGGACTAATCAGTGAGAAGGAGAAGAAAGCTGCCAATACCCTATGTGACAAGCAAGAATCCATAAAAGTACCCAAGCTGGACTTATTTGAAGGGTAGGGATATGCAGATTTCAAAACTGTTTTGGATCTGTCTGTCTGTCTACTGAACCTACCTATGTACCTATCATTCTATCTATCTATCATCAAATGTATTTGTCACCTATCTTGTGGTGCAAAGCATTCGAGTTACTTAGGACATCCCTGGGTTTGAATCCCTTCAACATAAGACTGAAAAAAAAGGTGTCACTGTTTTAAGGAACTATTAATTACAGTTATTATGACTCTGAAAAATAAGATTATCATATGAAGTAGCATTCAGTTCATGGGTATTAAGTTCGAATAAAGCTTCAGCCTGGATATTCAGTCAAAGACAATTGGATCAACTTTTCAAACCAGACTGATGACTCAGATTGCATTGAATCAGACACATGCACAGAAACTCTTTATCCCAAATCACTTCACAAAAATGAATCAATTCAGTTTTTCAAATTGGATTGATCTAAATCAAGTCAACAATTTACACAGCCTCCATTAAGAGAAATGGTTTTATTCCTCAGGGAAACATTGGTGGTGACTCTTCTTTTACAATAGTGTCCAAACTTATCTTCATGTGATTGAAACTTAAATTAGGGCCAGTTCCTTAAAATAGTGATGGGCAGGAATGACAGGTGGACCTAGAGGCCGAGGATGCTGCTGGTGAAAAAGAAACTGATTCTGACATGGCTAGCACAACTTCTTTAAACCACTTTTCTCTGACAGATGGTGGAGCTAGGTTGTAGGTCTACTTTGGAATCTCAAGGTTGGACTGTGGGACAATCATGTATGAAACTTTGGACAATGTCTACCTGAACTGAGTACCTTGCAGCCCCAAATCCCCTTTTCAGTGGCTCACTAGAATGATGGTTCCAAACATTGAGTTTAAATGGAAAAACAAACTGGGATTAGTGCATATTGCAACCCTCCAAATCACTAGCATTGTTTAACTCTTCCCTTCTTGCATTATACCCTTAGTCAATGCCATGAAGCTTCTAATGACTAGGAATGCATTTAATTTAATGCATTTAATGAAATGCAATCTCTAGTTGAAAAAGTTTGATACAGGTAGTCCTTGGTTAACAGCTGCCTTGTTCAACAATCATTTAAATTTAAGACTGTTGAAAAACTAGATTTGTGATCAGTTCTCAAATATATGGCCATATGATCATGTTTGGGTGCATCTTTAAAATGGTTGTAGTAGTCTGTTATTGCATGATCACATTTTGCAACCTTCAGAGCAGGCTTCTGACAAACAATGGGGAAGGCAGCAGGAATTTACAAGTTGTGATCATGTGACATCATGCTTAACTACTGTAGGTAATTTGCTTAATGATTGTAGCAGTACTGACATTGTGAATTGGATGTGATCATGTAATGTTTCACTTAATAACCACATTGCTTAGTGATGGAATTACCAGTTACGACTGTGGTTGTTGTGAGGACTGCCTGTAGGTTATCAGTGGAAAGATGGAGTTCTTATTAGTTACTGGAATGGAATTTATATGCCTCCCTCCAAACCCCCTGCTTCACCATGTCCCAACCAGTTGGCAACTTTGTCACCCACCTTTATGTGTATATTTGTATATATGCATCTTTAAACCATTCAGGTTTAATATCTGGATCTAGATATATCTATATCTATATCTATATCTATATCTATATCTATATCTATATCTATATCTATATCTATATCTATATATCTATATATCTATATCTATATCTATATCTATATCTATATCTATATCTATATCTATCTATCTATCTATCTATCTATCTATCTATCTATCTATCTATCTATCTATCTATCTATCTATCTATATAATATCTGGATCTAGATGATTTTCCATTTCTTCCATTGAGTACTAAACTAGATGAGATTTGGTGTATGAATAATTCCTGTCTTTCTCAAATATTAGCTATGCAGGCATGATTCAGTTTGTGAAAAATAACATTTTCTAATTGCAAATCAGCATTGGTAACTGAAAGATTTGCACCACCAAATCCATATCATAATGATTCTCAAATTACATTTTAAGAGTATATACCCCAATGTTTTTCCTAAATGTCCTGTCCATAAATAAGAAAGACATGATCAGAAATGTGCTATACACACTCATAAATCAAACAGGCGTGCAGATAGGTTTCCTAAATCGAAAAGGTTTGTTATAACAAAAGAAAACAAAAACAAACTACCACCCCAAAAGTCTTCTGCCTCATATTGTGTGGCTCTGAACCACAGAAAGACAACAAGGGAGAGAGTGGGTCTGTTCAGAAAGGCATCTGGGCATCTATTGCATTTCCATTTCTGTTGTAGAGAATGGGCAAACAGTTCTGGAGGGCACCGACTTGAGGAAGGCTGGTCTAATTTGGTAGTATATATTGTAAACACACAAACCGAGTGGTAGACTCTTGTCAAAGAAAGCTTTTGTCCTGCCCCCCCACAAGGCACAGCAGTCATAGATAATTTTGTTCCCCTACTGTTGATAGTCCTCAGAGTTAATGATTCATAGCCTCCGCTTTGTATTTAAGTAGTTGTTCAAATGGGGTGGGGGGGGGGGAAGCTGAGGGTGGCTTGCTTAGAAAGACAGGTGATGAATGTGTCTTCTGGTGCAAGATATGTAAATGGAAACTCCCCCTCCCCTTATTTTCTCTGCCCCCATCCCTTTCCTCAGAGTGCAAAGGGCCTATAAAACAATTAGAGCTTAAAATTGGACTCCTGGCAGAGAGTGGGAGAAGGAGTTTATGCCATGCTAAGTGTAATCAGCTTAGTGATAAGGGAGGGAGGGCTATTTCACTTGGGTCTGATATAATTACATCATAAACTTCACATTATAACCAGGGCTATAGGGGTGAAAAGGTAAAGAGAGAGTAAGTGATGCATTGTCCTTCAAGGGATGTGGCAAAGATAAATTGCTAAAAAAAAGTTTCACTAACCCAAAGGGGAAAATATCCATGCTTCCTTCTTTCAAATGTGATAATAAAGGAGGAGTGTTGGATTTAAATTAGGAGTATGCGTAACTACCACCTTGGGTTCAGATAATCATCTAATTAGCCTCAGACTGATTTGGCAACTGCTTTATTTGACTTGGGGGATGAATCCATATCTTGTTGAAGAAATCCACAGTTGGTGCCTTCCGTTGATTTCCATTCACTGGAAATCAACCTATTTCTGAAATGTTTTTCCCTGTGTGGTAGGTTTATATATATTTGTGAGTTTAGGATTTTATAAAGGAAAGAGAAATCTGCCAGAGTTTAACTACATAAATATAATATGGGTATATACGGTAGATCTTCAAAGGTGTTTTGCTTGAAGGCTGGTGCAAAGCACCCCGTTGAAACCACTCTAGGATACAATTTTTACTTTCTAACAGGAAACAATATGTCTGCACTGTTTTTGCTTTAAGGCCTCTTCTAGCAGTTCCAGTAGCCCAAAGAGGCCTTTGCACTTCAGCAACTACCAGATGAGGCTCTGAACTGATGAAAAATATCTCATTGAGGGGAATCACATTACTACTTTGCTGCAGTAGTAAGAATAACATGAAAAGGCTTTAGCAGCAGTAGAATAACACAGGGTAGCATGATGATAAATAGAAGGAGTTCTACATATGCTGGCTTAAGCTTCTGGAGAAAGACAGTTTATAAATGTAACAAATAAAATCAATTCATACTAAAACTTACCTGTGATTTGGAAAGAAAATAATTTGTTCCAATGCTTATCTTTTAGAAAAGAGTAAGCACAAAGGCTGCTCCAAAATACTTTCTTACCCTTATATACTGTGTATGAGTATGTAGGGGGTGGGGTGGGTGATAAGAAGCAGGCCCCCAGTTTAGCCACCTTACATATACAACAAAGGGCATTGTTATTCTTTGTACTTCCAAGCCTTAGAAGCAGCTTGAAGGTGACCCAGGATCACCTTCACTTCTGCTAGCTTGAAATACTAAGAGCAAGGAGTGAAAAATCAGTTTTTTTCACTGTTTTTCAGAGGCTAGAGCTGCTGTGGGTTCTGTGTTATCAAAAACACTCCCTCAAAAGGGAACGAGAGCATAAACCATCAGGCAGCTTTTATTCTTTTTTACAGTATTTATTAAACTTCTATCCCATTGCAATTTAACGACTCTCAGCAGTTTACAGAGAATACAATAAAACAACATCCATATTATGATTAAAACAAATGGTAGCATAGTAAGCTCCTCCAAGACAGCAAACGAGCAAAAAACAAAGAGGTAACAATGTTTAAATGAAGATAATGACCTTTGGAATAGTTTCATTTTCAATAGTGTTCTGAAAGCCAGCGGGGAGGGATGTAATATGATCTCTGTAGACAAGCTGTTCCAGAGCTTCAGTGCCTCCTAGCACTACACATGATCCAGGAACACTGCAACCATCATAAAGATGAGTCAGCATCTGAATTCTGATCATGTGACCATGGGGATGCTGCAACAGTTATGTCACCTTTTTTCAGTGCTATTGCAACTTTGAACTTTCACTCAACAAACTGTTGTAAGGCAAGAACTACAGTTACTCAGGGGTGAAATGTAAAAATGTTTGCTACCGGTTCTGTGGGTGTGACTTGATGGGTGTGGCTTGGTGGTCATGTGACTGGGTGGGCATGGCCAACTTGATGTCACTCACTGTTAGAACCAAGAGCTGTACATTTTGAAGCACATTCTGCCCCTTCTGAAGCCCCCAACGCTTTGAATTTCCCTCCGCTACCCAAGTGAACATCGGAGCCTTCTCTTGCCCTGCTCTCCATCCCGGAGGGCTGCACATTTCCCACCGCCAATCCTCCGTACAAACCAGTGGTGAAATCTAAAAATTCCTTCCTCTTCCTCTTACTCTCACTCTCTCTCTCTCTCTTCCTCCCTCCCTCTCCCCCACTCCCCACACCCACTCCCAGGGAATAACTGTAAGGCCTATTTCCCTAATAAATCAGGATGCAAAAATATTTACAGCTATTTTAGTGAATAGATTAAATAGCTTTATAGATAAATATATAAATGGTAATCAAGTAGGTTTT